CGTTTTAAGATCTCATGATATTGCACGAGATCTTGGATGGAATAATATCGTTGACAAGGTTTGAACTAAACGACTATAACTACATAATTTCATAACATAATGATTTAAAGCTCTGAGATGAAAGGCACTTGGTGAAATCCATTCCTTCAATGAATGCTAGGTCTCTAATTAAACAAATACCTCACTGCAGGATTTTATATAGATCTTAACTTCTCAGTTTAATAATCTTTAAACTGCTTCGAAATATTTCATGTGGGCTTAAAAGCTCTCATATATTTTCTGTATATAAGGTTACTGAGTTTCTGCCGCTTGCTCACATGCCAGCACTTTGTAAATCAGTATGTTCCTTTTCTGTTCTGCATGACAGTACCAACCCTATATTTAGACCCACTATGCTACCAGCTGTACAAAGGAAAGGCAGCTTGATGGARGACAGGCTCGGAAAGTGTGACACATGCTGAGGCGAAAGCTCAGCGTGCCGAATGACCGGCGAGCAGCAGACTAAAGTTTCATAACTTTCTTTTTGTCAGCTGCAGAGCGCTTTGTTCTTTTTACCTAGAACRTTTTTGTTTGCCTTGTTTTTATCCTGACATGATGTCCGCATTATCATGTTTTACATTTTTGGTGGTAAGATGTGTTTTATTTTATCACGCCGCCTCACCTTATGCTTAAGTCTGTGCCGCTCTCGAGAAGATTCTTCTCATTTCTGAGAGGTTAGAACTTCATAAGAGTGTTAGCAGATGTGGAGAAAACAAAGCAGGATAGTGAGTCAATGTTTTATTAGTGTCATAAAAGCACAATTTATATCATTTATTTTGAGGTTAGTCGACGATGTGGTAAAATGCGGTGGAAAAGTMCAGCCTGCGTTGCCTTTATTTGTCTCATTCAGCATCATGGGAAGCCCAACTGTCATCTTGTTGACAGTAATATCTGTTATCAACATAATCTGAAGGCATGTGTTTCTAATGGTGCCATGACWTTGTGCAGGAGTGCACATTCCACCGTGGTTTGACATGCACATGCTGCTCTGTTAGGGCACTGTTAATGCCAATAATATCTGCTTTTATATTTAGCCTCTCTGTGTCGCAGCGTACTGGAGTGGCAGCTGAAATTATGTGGCCTCATAACTCCCCTCTAAATCCTGCTTAAAAAAACAGATTAAGGGCTGAGTCTGCAAGTTTCCAAGAGGTTTGCATGTCATGTTGCCTCTAAGTAAGAGGTCCGCTGGCGTATTAATTTACATAGGACAACAAATTGCGAGCACGAAGGATCGGCTGGCTCTACTTTGACAGAGGCATGTCTGGGTTTGGAGCTGGCTCGGCTCAGGCGAGGGGTCAGTAAGGGCTAAATGCTTTTAAAAGCTTTTTAACCAACACTCTGATCAATATTAAAATAAAGATTTCATTTGTCAATAAGTCTCTTTGTTTGTCTGGATCAGATACTTTCTTTCTCGCTGTTGCAGATACTGAGCAGGCTATACGGCCTGCATTAGTGCAGATTAAAAGGACAGTTTGGTCATTTTTAAAGCAATATTCTGTCAAGCAGTGCTACAGTTAGAAGTACACAAGTTTTAGGGCAGTTCAAGCAAAGACTTTTATTTAAACCTTTACATCATTGTCAGTTTTGCATTATATGGCTATTTTGGCAGAAATGTTATGAAATTCCTGCTGGACGTAACTTTAGTTTAGGCTGGAAGTATTCCTGCTGCTACTCACTCTCACAAATAAGCTCTGAGTTTTACATAAATAAGAGTATAATGTGAAATTGKCATGGCAAAACCCAATTTTTAAAACTGGAGAATCTGCTTTAAACTTAGCTGTGTTCAGACCAGCTATTAGCCCGTCAATCATGTTGAAAGTACATTAAGATATTACTACTAAATTTAGCTGTACAATCTACTACAGATTCATAAACTGACTCTACACACAAGCACATTTGTAATCCATGAGGATTTTGCATTGACTTCCATACAGTCACCGTCATCTCTACAGCCTATGGTTATGGTGAGTGGGRATGGATGAGGGACCCATAWGAGTGGGGACCTCATAAGTGGGCCCATTGCTTTCCCCAAAAAGACACTGCGGTGCACGACTGCTCTACTTCTGAATAAATGAAAATGATCTAACACAGTTGTTTGCACTTAAATAAAAAAAATATTTGACCAAAGAAAGCCCGGAGCTGGACTAGAAAAAGATGAATATGATTTAGATTTTTATTTCTGTGCTGTAACGACCCACAGGAGACACAACATTAACAGCAGTCTTCATTTCATTCCTTGGCTTTACCAGGTCTGACGTTGCTAAAAATGACAGATTTTTTTTCTGGATCTCTGACAGCAGGTCTTCAATCTCCGAACTCATAAAGTCCTTCTTTTTTCCTTTTTGCTGTACTTTTCATGAATGGACATTTCCTGGTATKTGGGAGAGGAAACGTAGACTTATATGGTGTTTTTGGGTGGCARATTATGCTAATCACCTCTCCTCATGCACGAGCAGCTGATACGCATTCATCAGTTTACGCAGCTCATTTACACACTTTTCCTGAAGATAGAAGAGTTTGTTGAATCTGACGTGGCATGTTCGTACGAACCCTTTGTACGAACAAAAGTAAGAGAAATTTAGGATAAGAATACGAACATGTTCTTGCATGAGGCCCAATAATCTTTAATCAAACCTTCGTGTCCTTCAGATAGAACACAAGGTTAGAAACATTTAGTGTTCTGAGCTTCTCAGGATCCATAAAAGGGTCCCCAAGAATTATTTTCCTTTGACTGCTCAGAGCCAGGCAGTGGTCTAAATAGTGCAAAGAGGTMTAATGCCACAGGCATCACACAGACCGTTGTCATGGAGCCCCATCACCATTTTGTGGTGTTTGAGCAGTTTGTTTCCAGTTAGGACTCCAACCAGGGAACTTAAAGTTTTCCTTGTCAGGGAAAACTTCAAGTTCCCTTCTTCAGCCTAACCCTAACCCCTGACCAACCAATGGTRTTTCCCCAAATGKGKGCTGGGCTCTTGTCCCCATAAGGTACAGTAGATCCTCAKAAAGCTGTGTGTACCAGGAAAATTGTCAAATATCATCCCCATCAGAAAATATAAACATGTCCACATGCACACACATAACCAAGTGCATTTTCCCCCCCAGTTTCAACAAATATCCTGTCCAACAGACATTTTAGCTTGTTATAGCAGGAAACTATAGAAGCAACTCATGAAATTGGAAAAGACTAGGTTACATATTGATGAGCTTGTTAAAGGGTCCTTGACTGTAAGGGCTTTTGGGGTTACACATTCTCTTGTCTCTTGGAAAAAAAATAGCTTATTCAATGCTATTTTTCTGCGAACTCATAAAAAGGTTGAGTTTATTAGTTTAAGCATGCTGTCATCTGGAATAACCTACTGATTTTATCTCTTAAGTAGACCTATGTAGACTCTGGTAATTACCACCACTACTACAAATAATAATAATAGGAATAGTAATAACTAGAGCTAGGCGGTATGACCCAAATTTYATATCATGGTATTTTCAACAATTATACGGGTTTCACGGTATTCGACTGTATTTTTTTTCATCATAGCTCAGCTGATAATAAAATGTACAAATGTTGCTTATTGACTTTTTTCTTTTACGGTATCTCTGTCTGTGTCGCTGTTTCCCTCCTCTTGCACGTCTTTTCTTCTTTGCCTGGTTGTCGACAGTAATCATGCATTTTGGTCCGATTGTGAAGGATTGAGAAAGGTCATTATTAGGTCTATCGTTGTATCGCTGGATGACTCACCTTGCACACCAGTCAAGTCAGCTCTACTACAAAACTACTTCCCCCGGGCTTTTCACAATAGAAGCACGTTAAAGTCTCCATGCATCTCCACTTCTCCATTATAATGTTGTGCGTTAAATCTAACCGTGCACATAACTGAAGAGGTGTTTATTACATTCAGTGATGGTGAAAATGGGATGGTTTTTTTTAACTTCAGTCAATATAAGCAGCTAAAACACCACCTGCTGCCATTTACTCCAACAAGCTGCTCCAACAATAACATTAGCATGCTAATGCACATAGCGGTGCTGCGAGGAAAAGTGTCCCCCGGGAAACAGTTCACTGACGGCCGCGCGACGAGACGTTCCRAATGTGTTCAGGTTATTTAAATGGTATGATGCACACTGATAATTCATATTTTTTGCAGTGTAATTCTTACAACTTTAGCAGCAAATTTTTCAAAATGAGCATTTTATCAGCACAATCCACACCCAAAAKTCCAGCTAAAAAATAATAATAATAATGATCCACCACTGATTCAGGTTCAGTTATCCTTTTTGGTACTTTTACACTTCCAAACGGGCTGGATTTTGTTTGTTTGACTTGAGTAGTAGTGGAGGCATCACTTTTGAAAGTATTAGTGATGTGCTTGATGCTGCAGCAGTTTCTTTCACTGACAGAAGCGTTAGTTTTACACAGTTTGTGTCCAATATTTTCCTCAGAACTTGAAGATCTGTGTGTGTAGCTTACACGGCACTCTCATAGTTTTTCATATTAGACAGTTTCTGCTGAAGAATTCTGTCAGGATTTAAGTGGACGATTCTAAAGCTAACAATTTGCTGCCAGTTCAATGCTAGACATGGGATTATCCAAGATGTTTGATGGCTGACAAATTTTTTTGAAAGATCAAACTGTTCAAAACAAGAACTCATTTTTAAAAAGAAAACATACAAATTAATTTTTAATATGCTCAATTTTGTTTGCTAACTCTACTAACTTCCTAAAATCAWTCAAGCTTCATCTTTTAAGATATTATTATATACATATGTACATATTAGTACATTTGGTTTTGCTATGTCATATTAGATATTTGTGTAAAAAATAAGCCATCATGGTTTTATTTATTGTATTAGTTTAAATTCTCACAGAGCTATATTTTACATCTAATGTTTACATCTAATGTTTTATGTTTCAGACTTACAAAGAAAATTATTATTTTTTGTTTGTTTGTTTTGTCTGTCTGTAGGAAGACCAGACTAAAMATGTGACAGTTGTCCTTCTTCGTGAGGGTGGATCTCTGGGTTTTAACATCGTAGGAGGAAGGCCATGCGCGGTAGGTTGACAGCTGAGAGTTTCGGRTGCTTTATTTTCTCTACTGATCAGCCAAGTGTCAAATGACAACCAAGACATTCACAGCAAACTAAAAGCACCCCCAAGCCATCTGTGTACAGACTGACACAGTGCAGACAGAAAACCCAGCATGATATTTTTTTTAGTTGGTGGATAAATGAACCGCTCTATCAGTTTTTATTATGTTTATATATTGGTCTGGTYTTGCGGATTCTGTATTCTAGATTTAAACCCCCTCCCAACTATAATTACATTTATGAGAGTTAAATCTTAAATTATGGTTATGGCCGCAGTTGTTCTGTCTTTTAATTGAGGGGATTTTGGTGGTGTGGTAAATGCAGAGGAAAGGGTCTTTTATCCTCGCCTGAACTTTTCACAGCCACCGCATTTCCTACCTTTAGGCTTTGGTGTAAAAGTTGTTAACGATGCCACGTTCTCCACCGACTGAAGGTTTTAAAATATGTCACCACCCTTATAGTTCTGTCTTTAATACATGGATCTCTTTTATTATAGTTATCATCTTTATAAAAAGATGCTCCTTGTATGAGTTACACCAGAACTGTACTGTTACAAGATGTAATTTTCCAAAACCAAAGTAYCACACTTTTTTGTTAATAGACTACTACTAAATTAAGATTTCATCACTAAAAGCTATAAGATTTGCTCTCAAAAGGCTCCATTTTTACACTAGCTTGTGTCATTGACACATATTATAGCACTAGAACAAATGTGAAATGAAGCAAGTGGGACTTGTTCTGTGGGAGCTGTCATGAAGTATTTTTGGGACCAGCATCTGTTCACTAGGGATGTGGATTTTTAAGTTCCACCTATTTTACTGCATACAGTTATATTACATGATCCTACTTTTAAGCACAAAATAACTAACTCCATTTATCCATCCATTATCTACYGCTTGTTCCAGAGTTGGGTCACAGGGGCAGCAGTTTGAGTAGGGMGGCCCAGACCTCTCTTTCCACAGCCCAGGCCAGACAAGAGACATAGTCTCTTCAGCTTTTCCAGGGTCTTCCTCGGGGTCTCCTCCTAGTCAGACATGCCTGAAGCCTAGGGAGGCATCCAGGCAGCATCCTTACCAGATGCCTGAACCACCTTAACTGGCTCCTCTCGACGTGGAGGAGCAGTGGCTCTACTCTGAGTATGAACTTCTCACCCTGTCTCTAAGGGAAAGTTTTGCTAACCTGTGGAGAAAACTGATTTGGCTCTCCTGTATCTTAAATATTGTTCTTTTTGTCACTACCAAGGTTTATGACCATATGTTAGGAATGTAGACGACAAGTAAATAAAGCACTATTGTTTTTTTTAAATAGTTTTTGTTGTAAGAAAGATTAAATGTTTCTTCAGGTCTAACTAACTACACAGACATTGTTTGTAAAGTGACTCGGTCACCATAAGGTAATATGGTAAGAACTATATGAGTCAAAGATCAGTCTTGACTTTACTGCATCATGTGTCTTCATATCAGTAGCATAATGTCCATAGTGTATTCTTTTGTATGAAACTAGGTAAATCCCAGTAATGTCTGTCTGCCCTTGTTGTTGGACTAGTACTACTTTGTAAGTGCAAATGAACAAATGTTGATCTGTGGGCTTCGTAGTTGGGCTGCAGCTTTTGGGACTGGTATAGAAGGAACTGTAGTGACCCTTAGGGGCGAATGATTTATCGGCCCCGATTTCATTTATTTTTGATGATCAGCAATTGGCCAATAGTTACATGAGAAGCCAAACCTATCCAAAAATCTTATTTACCTCGGCAAAGGTCTGAAAATCAGCCCTTAGCTCTGCTGTAAGAGAGGACTGTTGTCCATTTAAAACAAGTTTGTAATGTTTCCAGGGTATTGTTCATTGTTTTAAAATGAAATAAGATTGGAACATTGAAAGTGTATCAGGACCTTATAACACCTGGCAGTGTTGGTTTAAAAATAAACAGCTGTATTGGCTGAAATCTGAATCGGCAGGTTGGGTTTTTTTAAAGATTGGTGATCAGCCAGAAAAATGCAATCAGTGCACCCTTTAGTAACCCTGCACACAGCAAATTAACATTGTACAATATGCATATATGGGTATGTAACCGAGGGCCAGAAAAAGTACATTTTCTAGTCTGGTCTCATCAAAGCTTCTAATTTGAAAAAGGGCTTTAGTTAACTTTACAAGTAGCAGTTATGCCACTGGGTTCAGCAGGTGTGAGGAACATGTTTCATGCTTTTTGTGGAGGGTGCCACTGAAGCTGTTAACTCAGATTTAGCTCTGACACTGGGGTCATGGCTGCAAGTCTTTGATGCAGACTTCTTCAACATGTCAGTGTTTAGAGCCTTTCGTGGGCTGGGGTCAAACCGTTAAGCCAAGGAAGCATCCACAGTTGAAGCTCACATTAAAGTCCTCACTAAATAGCAAGGTCACTTCACCCAAATAAGAAGACTGATTTTTGCTTACTTGTACCAGCGGTTTGCATTCCATTGCCTGGATTTGTAAACAGGATAACGCTGCTGACACTAACCTTGGTTATAATGCCAGCCACGGTAATTTATTCTGTAATTTAGAGACTTTTATTTCATCACAGTTTCAAGGTGATTTTTTTTTTATTTTTTGTCATTTTTAAAGATTGCCAAATTTTGAAGGATTTCTTGAATGTGTTTGTGTAAGCACTGTACTTGTCTTGTTCTTGAGAAAATGACAGCCTTCTATTCCACAGGATGACAATGACAGCACTTCAAACGAAGGGATCTTTGTATCCAAGATTGTTGAGAAAGGTCCAGCGGACAAGGAGGGAGGCCTTCAAATTCACGACAGAATAATTGAGGTATGTGACCAACACTGGAGTGATTGGTGCGAGGGTGGGGGCACAGCCGGTGATGTCTGTCACAAATGTCTCTCTGGTCTTTTGAGCTCTAGCTGAAATCAACAAATGTGACACTTGGGACAGTGATTTGCATTTTGTGGTATTATTTTGTTTCCAGGCAATAAATCCTGCAGACAGCTTATGTTTCAGCATATACTTGCATGAATCAACAGCTAGTCGAAGACCTTGTTAAGTTGCTGGAGATGGGCAGTGATAAACCTGAGGCGAGGCGTTCTGTTTTTGGTTTCACTGAGTGAGAGAGCCTTGTGTTTGCTTTGTGTTTGCTTCCTACCCAGCAAATCTCTTATGACAGAGCTGCCGTGTTGCATCCTCCTCCTGCCTTTAAACAGGATCTTGTGTGGAAAGGCCAACTCACCCTGAGGTCAACTTGAAGGATGATTCGAACAACTCCACATCACAAAGGCTGCTTTTGGAGTACAACTACAGCTCTACACAATGCCTGCATTGAAATGAGGGGGTTTATGTGGATTACAAATGTGTAGTACCGCATGCCACAAGATGACAAATATGGTTTGTCGCAGGCTTTATTGTCAAACCTCAATGAATTTGCCCCAGAGCGTTGTGAACAGTGCACTGCTCACATAGTCGTTTGTGGAGAGTGTTTACAAGAAAAGGGAACATCTGGACTGCGTTGTTCACTTTCGTCTTGTTGTTCATCCAGTAGAATTACATGCAGGAAAATGCCACAGTTTCTCTGGCTCAGGCCTCATGCCACGACTCAAAGTAACGTGGCTGCAAGTCTAGCAACACATAAGGAATACATGATTTGTTTATTGTTGATCATAACACAGTCAAGTCAATCAAATCTACAAGTAATCCACTTGTCAGTGTAACTGAAAAGACATGAGCTCATACGTGGATAGAATGTTTTTATTTAACATCCAGATTTACTGTCTTGGTTTTTTTGAACTAGTTCATGTCAGTGCATGTGTTACTACTGGATCATGGCCACAGCCCGAATGTTACTATTTTAGTTGCTTGAAGGCAAAATTTTACGCTGAGATAACCCTTTAACTCTTTAGTGGACACAAGTAAAGGGAATACAGATTTTGCTGTAAGATGATACTGTTCTTGAGTTTGTCTTGTTTTTTTTTTCTATCTATTGTTGACGAAGTCATGAAACCTCTCCCGTGGAGGAGACCTCCATTGTAGCGAGGATGTGAAGAGCCTGAGGACGTAGCAAAAAAGCCATGTTAAGTGTTCTCTTTCTTTCAGGAGGTTAGGGGTCATTAAAGAGCCCAACAAAATAAATAATTTATTGAAACGGAAAAAGACAGATAAAGCTCAGAGCTGATCCACCACGTTGGTTCTTTTCATGGGTGGGTGAAACCTGATAGTTGAAAAGGTTCTTATTTCAGAGACTTCTTGTTAGTTGACTGGTTAAAGCAAAAAAAGTTCCACATTGTGCGTTTTCAGGCCTGCATTAGAAATGCAATGTCATAACCACATTTGCAGTTGTGTAGGTTGCATCTTTAACCCCAGGTGGTCGTCTCTCAGGAGCTCGTGGTTTGCAGATCTCAGTCAAAGGAAATGCCTAAAGGTAGTTTCATGTTCATGTTTTGAAAGTTGTGGATTGAAACCAACAGCCTACAACTGTGTCCTATTTAGCATTCTATGTAGGACAAGCCACATTAGAAATGCAGAGGCCTTTAAACTTTGCTTCAACTCTTATCTCACAGGAAGTATGTAGTCTCAGACACCGAACAGTGTGTTATCTCACAGTAACAGTGGCGCATTTTATTTAGGCTTAATGAATCAAAATTAAGAGAGGAGATTTTTTTTTTACATTGATATCAGTTCCAGAAACCTCCAGTGAGTTGAATAAACAAGTTTTGGTGCTGGTGCAGATCCTCTGTCATCCAAACATGTTAAATCCAGCAAGTTGAACCTTCTCAATTCAGAATTTACACAATGTCTATGGTAAAACTGCGTCATGTGAGCTGAGGTAATGGTGGGGGGGGGGCGGGGGGTACTTGTTTTATAAAACATAAATTTACACGGCTCACCTGCAATTATGGTAATAAATTTACACATACATGAATATTTAATTGCCTAACTACATTCTAGTTAAGGACTCCTCATGATAATTATCAATAAAATTATTATTGATAATAAATTATTAGGGGGGTGGGGGTGTGCGCCCCGGACGCCCCGCCTGTTTAATGGTAGGGGAAACACTGGRTTCAACCTACAAACAAACTGACTGCTGTGTGAAGCTGAGAGTTACCAGAGACCTTTGGTGAGGCTTTTTTGCCGTATCAGCCAACAATGAGCCAAAGAAGTCATTTCAGTTCAGTGACGTTATTTGAAGGAAATCATGGAAAAGTTGAAGTTAAAACTAAAGTCTTCCACAGCCAGAGGAATAGTAAAAAAGTACAATAAATTGGTGCTTGTATGTAACTTATGAAAGATGCTTATAAACTTTTTCTTTACACTGTTTTTATTCATCCATTGTTTGCACTTCCCATAGAATAAGCTGTATTCCATCCTCTAACCACTCAGGATACCATTTGTTAGAATTGCAGGTTCCCCACTGATGTTTAACCATTTTTTTTTCTTGAAGATGTTTCAAAAAATCAGACAAAATCTGCTATAGGTGCATTGAGTTCTGTAATGGAAACCTGGACAAGTATGTTGGAAGTAAATTGCGGGCAGTACCTGTTCCTAGGGGGCGTGTCACTTGCAGTTCTATACTGATTACCGATTGGTCAGTTGCTGACAAGCCTACTAGCTTGATTGAACTCTGATGTAATGTCAACTGATAAAGCCCCTCAAATGAGAAGTGAAGCATCTTTAAGAAAAGTAAGTTCAATTACTTTAACTCAACTTTCCATAGCAATATAAGTTTTTTTTTCACCCACACGTGACAAGTTTTTGACAAAACTGATTTATTAAAGAAAAATACCTGGTTTTACAGCCTGATATGTGCTTAGTTATTAAATAGTTCTCCAAAGATCCACCAGCTCATTGATCAGATGGCATGAAACTAACTAGTGCTCAAATGTTAATATGTTTGAGCTGACTTGATGTTTAAGAATAAAAAGATAAAAACATTTTGATTCAGTCACAGTTGGTGGCAGCCATCAAAGGCTGGTAGTTTCTTCACATCTTAAACTCCCTAATTTCCTAAATTTAAAGCCCAGGTTGTTACAGATAGCACTCACTTAGGTGACTGTTTACTGCTGAAGCTGTTAAGTCACTTCCCACCTCCTCTATTCATGCATCTTCCTCTGGCTTCATAAAGTAACTCCAGTCATCCTCACACCACTTACAAAATATACAGAAGTTTATAAAAAWTTTTTGTAAAGTTACAAATAGATCAGGTGTGAAATTTACTAAAATGACACACAGCAGCAGCTACTGAAGCTGTACCATCTCTACCATCCTCTATCCAAGCTGGCACAATTTATTCTTTGTGTCTTCCTCTGGCTTCATAAAATAATTGCGGCCACCTGCACACTGCTAATGAAGTTTATGGAAGTCTACTATATTTACGTAGTGTAAAAAAAAAAGACAACTCTCGGTGAACCCAAGGTTCGGCRCGGTGTCCTGAGGAGTCGTTAGCTGAAAGAAGGTGTTTGTAAACCAAAGATGCCACTCAGGTTAAATATCTGTTTATAGGGCTGTCATGATACATAGGTAGAATTCTACCTGATGTAAGAGTTTATTACTTCCTACGCTAAAGGAGTAGAAAAGAGAGAAACAAACAAGCAGGTAAATGAAAATAATCAACCTAATTTTTTTATCAAACTTTTTTTAATTATCATAAGATTAGTTGATTTATTGCCTACTGCGACAGGCCAAGGACATTGTAATGTTCTGTCACCTCGTAATGTTGTTTCTATATCTGTTGGACACTGTGAAGTGTTATCTTTCATTTGGGGTCCTTTTTATAACCACCCATTACAGAGTGTAAGTCCAGGTTTCATTTTATTTTAGCTCTCCCATCTGGTTCTAAAACGGTCTACTATGTTCAATAACATTTCACAGTTTTGCTTTGGTGGTAAACATCTGCTGTCTACAACTACGAGCAAGGTTACTAAAAGCCAGTTGCCAGCTGAAGAACTAAAACAGTGCTAAAAGAGGTTAAAAGGCCCCGTGGTGATGTTTTAGTTATAAATGTAACATATGACCCCTTTCATCATGCACTGAGATTTGGTCCAATCTTACAAACAGAAGTATTGATTATTAGGCTTAAAAATAAAGAAGCATGCAAGATTTTTCAGTCCAGCTTCACCACCAGCTTTTTCCAATAAAATCTGCTTTATGCATACAAACGTTAACACCTTTGACACCAATCCAAGGCTTGGCAAAACCCTGTTATGGGGATCAAGTGTTGTGTGAAAGGACAGCACCAGTGCTTAGATCAGTGGAATGTTCATTCACCTGAGGAGGCAGACAACCGCAGCTCTGTCAACAACCTCAGAGCTGTTTTCTYTTCTTGTAATAGAGGTGTTAGTTCCAGTGAGTCTATATGGATCTAACATGGACGTGATGATCCACGGTGCRTCCTTCTATAACAGGCTCTTAGTGGGGGAGTATGGCAGATGGCTGTTCTCTTACTGATCTACAGGCTGGTATGAGCCAGGACATGAGTACCTCATTGTTCAGCAGATGGACATTTTTCCTCATAAAACCTTGAGCTGTGTTTGCTTTCCCTTCCCACTCGACATGCTAATGAAAAGAAAATCATAGCACTCTGGTCAGGATTTGCCAATGTTTACTCCACAATTTCATAAATAGATTGTGATTCAGCTCTGCTTGGTAGATAGACTTGGTTTTATTTCCTTATCATCTGTTTGCCATGTAAATGAAAGCTCACCGTTTTGTTTTCAATCCATCTTCACACGGAGCAATCCTGGAACTCAGAATTATGATGCAGTTTTCCCACCTATTCATCCATCTATAATCTATGCACAGTCGATCCTCCACATAGTCGT